ACTAACTGAGTTACTTGAATGACTTTAAACAAGTTACTCCCACTCCCACCCCCCACCAGGCCTTAGTTATCTCACCCTGAATAACAGTTTAAATTGGTTTAAGTCTAAGACTCCATTAACTCTGAATTTCATTTGGTTAGATGCATGCAGCTTCCCTGCTTATCCCAAACAACTGTCTTTCTTATGAATTGTGGAGGCTACATCTTCTTTTCCCCTGGAATAATGTCTGGGCTGAACATTTGCCATGATGAGTTAATATTATTGAAGGGTTTCTGGTGCTTCTGGTAGCTTCGAGGATGGGGCTCACATTTTGGCAATGTCTACTTAAAAATTCCTGACCTGATACTGAGCTTTTTGTTTCCCTTCTCTTACATTGCTTAAGGGCTGTTCTGCCCCCAAATGAAGTTTGGGTAACCTGATAGCAGATATATCAAAATGTGGTAGATGCGGCTCCTGAAAGGACAGTGGGACTGAGGTTAGGGCTGGTGTACCCCGCAGGCTTGAAATAAAGCAGAGTCTGCACCTCCTTCTCTCTCTTACTGTCTCACCCCCAGAATTGTCCAGTTTCCTCAATGGTCCCTGATATCAAGGATGTACAGGCAGATGAACAAGAGGAGCTTTATGAAGAAGGTGAGCATCTACTGAAAAATACCCTCTTCCTATATGAACTTAGGAAAATCCCAGAAAATCTTGACTGGCTCAAAACCCAATAGCATGTCTATGGGGCCAAGTAGGGCAGATGATTTGAGGACCAGGTTTTCCTCCTTTCCTGTGGAGACTACCTGTCTACGTGGTTGTACAGGGACTACCGAGTGAAGGGGATGTTCAGAACATCTGCTTTGGCAGGCCACTGACCCTGTGTTCTCCTGGCTGGCCATTCAGTCATAGATATTTATTGGGCTCCTACTGAGTTGGAAGTTCTCTGGGCAAATTGTGGGATGGATACAACAAAATGACTGCCCACAAACGCTTAGAATCTACTGAAGAAGGTAAGAACAGAAACACAGCTATATGTCTGTATAGCAAGCTGAGCTCTAAAAGATGTCAGAGAAGGGGGTGCTGATCAAGAGTCAGGATGATGGCTGAGAATATGTAATTCTGCACAATGTTTGGAAGGCTTTTATATTTTCAAACCTCCAGAAATGTAAGTTCCCACTTTCCTAGGTTCCTTTGCCAGTGTTTATTAAATATTTTTTTGAAGACTTATTTCAGTCATATTTTCACCCTTGAGAAAATGCTTCATCATCTTAGGCCCAAGGGAGGTTCACCTTGGTGAACCAGGTGGCGTCTCGGTTTTATTACTCTCCCTCCATACAGAGGAAGCATGAAAGGAAACTGGAGTCATGGAGTTTGGGTCTGGCTCTCTTTCCATGGGGACTGAGTAGTTTCTTTATCTATTCCTCAGAGCCGAGGGTCCCTTTCTGAGGCAGCCAGAATAGAAGGAGACTCATGCTGGGAAATCATGTCCATATTGGGCAGGTGGTCTGGCTGGATGCTCAGTTCTGTGAAATGTGTCACCTGAATCAAGATGACAATCAAGCAGCAGTGGCTCTCCCTGTCTCCTGAGCTGCACAGAAGCAGAGTTGCTGTGAGGATCTGAGCACTGGTCTGAGATTCTGAGAATCACCCCTACTAATCACCAGCCTTCCAGAACTTCTTGACACAGGATATTTGTAACTGAGATGGCCTTGGATCTGAGAATCTAAGCCTCCTTTAGCTGCTCACAGAAAAGTTCACCCTTCTTCAGCAGATAGAAACATCATGATAGGCCCTACCTGGCGGTGCAATGGGTTAAAGTGCTGCACTGCAGAGTTAGCCAGAGCTGCTTTAGCACCAGTTTGATCTCCGGCCAGGGAGGTTACCCACATGGCGTTGCAGACCTCTCCTGTCTCATCAATCTGCTTGTTCTGTTCCCCACTCTATCTCTGATGAATCCTCTCACCACCTCTGCACCTCTGGCCTGTACCCCAGTTCTGTATGTATAAATAAAATAAATCTTAAAAAACAACATCACGAAACAGTGTAGGAGTATTTAAATCTGAGCTTATTGCTCTGAGACTTTCAGCTGGGCCGTGAGAATTATGTATGTAGTTTGCCCTCCTCTGGGCCTTGCACTTCTGTGTAATACTGGTTTTGTTCAGATGGCTTGTATATGTGCAATTAGCATTGCATAATTGGAAGAGCATCTCCTGAATTTCTGGGATGCCACTAAGACATAAGCTGAGAGACGGTTTTCCCATCTGATTGGTTATGAAACCAAGGCCAAGGGGGTTTAAATGGCCCAGGCTAGATTTTAATTCTTCTGTATCCAAAAGTCCTAGTCCTGTTCATGACTACAGCCAGCTTTGAATATGCCAGATGGGACCAAGTCCTCCCCTCCCCATCCTTGGGGCCACTCAAACTCAACTCACAAGTCTTCTTTCTTTGGAGTTTTCCTTTGCAGTAGAACAAGAGCCACAATGATGGGTGGAAACAGCACCAGAAAGATTGCAGTCAGGATCCTAGAGAGGTTTTGCTTTTCTGTGAAAGCTCTCTTGTGTGAAAGGGGCAGTGAGTATGGGAATGGGAAAGGATGGGGAATGGGAAGAATGCGGGAAAGGGAAAGTTTAATTTCCTGATGGAAGACCCTTTGACCCACACCCCTCATTTCACAGATGAGAATTCCAGGATGAGGTGAGTTGGCTACCCTGGTCCCCATGTGGGTCAGTAGCAGACTAGAACCCCTGTCTTCAGGTTCCCCAGCCCAGTTCTTATTACCTGCTCCCTAACCTGTGTGTGGACTCTACTGTGTGCCAAGGAGACCGAGTGAGGGTTGGGGAATTGAACTTTGGCATTTTATTCTGCCATAGACTTTCCATGTGGCTTCAGTAACTTCCTCTTGCTACAACTTCTGTTCCTCATCTTAAAAAATTCCCAAAGGTCTCACCGCAATGTGATGTTATTCTATTTAGCTTTTGCTTCATATTCATAGGACAATAGTCAGATAATATTCTCCTAGCAATGGCCTTTCAGCGAGGGAAGGAGGCTGATTTATGTATCTCTTGTGCTCCACTGTCTTTCAGGTACAAAGAAGGAGAAGTCAGAGCATGGACAGTTACAGAGGCATCAGAACATCGAAGGGTATGCCTGGAAATGTGGGCAGGTGTGACATCCCAACCAACAGGGGTACCTGGGAGTTTACCTGTTCACAGAGGACCCCTTCCCTGCTCCAAGATTTGGGCTGGTTGTTGCTTGGGAGCTTCTGTCTTCAGCAGAGGGGTCTCAGGCCTCTGCTTTGCTTCCCACCACAGATGCTGCCTCTATGTCAGTGGACCCTGAGGGCTGTAGACTTGCAGTTGGTGTAGCTCCTTTTGTGGCAGCCAAGGCTTTTTGCTTAGAAACTGATGTTGCATTTTGGAGGATTTCCCATGCCCATTGTTTCTGAGACTAGCACCGGCCTAAAAAGGTCTCTATGACCTTCCAGGTTGTGTCCAGGGCTATTGTGACCCTCCTGTGTCCTCTCCTGACTTATGGGGTTCCGTGGTTATTGTTCTTCTCCCTCCCTCACTAGTTCTAGCCCTGTCTACGACTGTGCCTCTGAGCTTCATAGAAAAACACCTTCTGTTGCATTAGATATGCCTCTGATTTTTGGTTCTTTGGAATTGGGACTGTTGCCTTGATGGAATCTTCTACCCAGCTACCTGACCCTGGAACTATGATCCCAGTTGTTCCTGGAGTTTGCCTTGTCTTAGCTAAAGCTGTTGTTTTACTGATTCTCGGAGTCAGAGCAAATCTGTCCCATCCTGTCCCCTGTCCTTTTATAGTTGAAGTGGGTCCTTGGGCCCATGTGTTGACTGGAGATGCTGTTCCAAAGGGTCCCATGACGAGGTTACCAGCAGCTGGAGTGATTACGAGACTGGCGCTGGAAGGACCTGGGTATAGAGCAGAGGAAGCCTGTCAGGGAAGACGATCCAGGTTGCCTACAGGATTTAGCAAAGGATGTTGAGCTTAAAGAGTGTGCTCTGTGGAATGAAACATCACTAAGCCAGGAAGCCTTTGGCCAGCATGTTAGATAAAATAAAATTTTGGAAACTAGATGTACTCTCCTATGCTCACATAATCTCTCTCCAGCTGACCATGACCTCCATGCTACCCCTTTTCCAGAAGCCATACCAGCCCACAGTGAGCAGCCAAACTCAATGATGGTTAGATAGCAACATCTAATAAAGTTCATGGAACTCTTGTGCTTACTTACTTCATGACAGGACCTTCACTGCCTGGATGCCCTCCTTAAACTCTGGGTACCTGACTGTGGATCAGCTCTTCGAGAAAATCCCACACAGGGCATAAACCTGGTCACTGTCAGATGTCTGCCGAGGGGATCAGTCTTACGAAGATCCCATCCAATTCTTCTGTCCTTACTTCTTACCTGGTCTGCACATTTGAACCACGAGCCACTGTGACCATAATCACATTATCCAACTCACTACCTTTTGGAATTCTCTCCAAATGTATATTTCACAACATTCTGGGGAAATTGGGTGGGATAGCTTATGTGCATTCAGTTGGGAAGTTTTCTCCCTAATGCCAACCTTTCTTCTAATAATTCTTCTCAAGGAAGCATTCTTCTGAGAGAAAAGCCTATGTTTTAAATCCTTGCCTACTGCTGGATTTCCTGTATCACTCTCCTTGTGTTAAAAACCCTCTTGGGGCCCTTCCTGGCAGCACAGGGGGTTAAAGCGCAGCACTGCAAGCCAGCCAGCCACTTCAATGAGAGTTCAATCCCAGCCCCTGAGGTGACCCACATGGAGTGGCAGACCTCTCCTGACCTGCCCGCACTCCTCAGCAGTGTACCTCGTCAATTGGCCTGTTCTGTTCCCCATTGTGTCTCTGGTGAAGCCTCTCACCATTCCTGTGCCTCTGGCCTGCACTCCCCCCAAAAAGTCCTCTTGGATTCTTGGGTCTCCTTTTATGCCATCTCCTTCCTAGCTTTCGCTCCACCAACCTCGACCCACTGGCCATCAGCTCATACCTGCAGATATGGTCAGGTTCACGTTGAAGAACAGCATATTGTTTCTGTCTCCAATACTATAGCGTTAGTGCCCCCCATCATTCAGGGACAGCTGGAACAATGTCACCACAAACAAGCCATTCTGTGGGAAATCTGCTAGCGTCACATGGCCATGGTAGTGAGGGTCAGTGTTGTGGCTGGTGGACACAATGATGGGCCAGATCCAAGTCAGAGGTCTTAGTTGACATCAGTACTTCCTCTGGAGCCTGTTGATGGGCAAGGGGGTACAGTGGCACTGGATAGTGACAAGCTTCCTAGATTCCCCAGACACCAGCCTTAGACCCTTCAATGCATCTGCAGTTGCAGGCAAGATAAAAAAGTCAAAGTGCTGAATGTAGTCATTGGGGAATTATAAGCTCAAAATTCTTCCTGAATAAGAAGACCGACAGGAAGTGCCTCTGTGAAAGTGAAACTAAGAAGAATCAATATTGAAATGTCAAAGCTTAGCCACTGAGTCAGGAGTAGCCTCAGGATCTAGAATGGGGTGTATCCAAGATGCCCTCTGAGAGATGGAAATGTAGTAATGATCTTACTCCCTGCTTAGCCCACAGTTATCATAAGCCAAGCATTCCCATACAAGTCTGCCCAGGGCCTGGGGCCGTTCCACTGAGCTCCAGTACGAGTATTTAAGAAGGTCTGTCTAGGAGTCTGGCAAGATAATGGGAGAGTGAAGACACTGGGTTTGCCAAAACAACCACACTGCATGTAAATAAAAACAAGAGCCCAGGGCATGATGGCAGGCCATTGCATACAAAGAGAGGATGGCACAGCAAGGCGGGTAAAAAAGTTGAGGTTGGAGCATGATGGGCGCAGTGTAACCCAGGAGAGGGAGGAAGGCTGTGATCAGGAACCACTTTGATGCTGTTGTTGATTCAGGGATCATGTCCACATGAAGGACTTGAGAACCTCGGGAAATGCCCTGGAGGAAGCACAAATGGTGGGTGTGCAGAACAGCACATTTACTTCAGGAGAATTTTCAGAGAAGGGGAGCAAAGATCTGTGAAAAAAAGCTGATAGAATTGGCCCTCCCTCGTGGTGCAGCGGGTTAAAGTGCAGCACTGAGAAGCTAAAGCCACTTCAGCATGAGTTTGACCCCCACCCTGGAGGTGACCCACATGGTGTGGCAGAGCTCTCCTGACCTGTCTGCTGCTCCCCTAGCAGTGTGCTTCATCAGTTCTGCTCCCCATTCTGTCTATCATGAATCCTCTCACTGCCCCACATGTCTGGCCTGTACCCCAGTTCTACATGCATAAATAAGTAAATCTTAAAAAAGAAACTGGTAGAATCATAGCTAGAGGCCTGCACAGGTACACGTTAAAGCACCATAAGGGAATCAGACACCCAGAGCTAGGGAATGAAGCAGCCCACTTCCCTAAGCAGGGGGTGTTTGGACAGGTCATGACCTGGCAATCGCTGGTGTGGGGCCTGTGTAAGGCTGCAATTGTTGACTTGACTACCTGGATCCTGCCCTGGAAGGTCAGATTGGCACTTTTGTGCTTCAGTGGAAATAAGATTTCTCTCTACCCTGGCAGCTCACCTTCACTCGAGGCCAAAGCAAATAACTAGATTTGGTACAAAGTGCCATGAACTAGAGTTTAATGCACCTCGTCCTTGAAAACATGGACAAATGTCTCAGGACAAAGTTCTGTACTTGAAAGACAAAGGGCGTAAATCCAGCCATGACTCCATTGCTATCAAACCGCTTCCCAGATCTGTAATTATTGAGAGAAATTGGGAGAGGTCTGCCCAAGAGCAGTCTTTTTGTTGAAGGAATTTGCAAGCCCTGAGAAATCCACACTTAGATGTCTTTAAAGCAGCTCTCCCAGGGGTCCCTTCTGATGATTCTTCAGTGGGTGCCATGAAGAGTTATTGCTAGAATAACCGACTTTGTACCCTCTTGCTTTAGGATGTGTGTGTGTCTATCAATTTGTCCTACAAAATTAGGATCTTTGACACAAGCAAGTTCACTTTGAGATCCTATTGAAAGGACTGGTGACATAATTAGTCAGGCCTGTGGAAAATGCAAATGCAGCATACTTTGTTCAAAAGTTATTAAGCATTTTACTGAATAGCTCTGCTATTGCCACACACCTTCTGGGTCTGGAAGCCGGTATGTGCCCAGGTGAGCCCATGAGGCTGCCCAGCCCAGTGTCCATGTCTTAATATCAAGTTAGAGGAAGTGCAGGCCATAGAGGCCATGGATTTCTCAGTGCTCACTTCAGGCTTGATTAAGTAGCATTGCCAATTATGCCACTGTTGATAAGTTCAAATGGCAAGTTAGCATTGAAAGGTTAGAATATTCACAATTACAAACAAGGACGATCTCAGGACACTTGTGATGTGGCCTGATAAATGCTCACTCCTTAGATTTCAGGAATTCTTGTTATCCACATGTGGCATGTTGGAGGGGGCTCAGCTTCATTCATCAGCAGGACATGGTCATCTGGCTTTGCAGGACAAATCCTTGCAATGTGAATTACTTTTTTTTTAATGATACCAAGTTTTATGTATGCTAAAGAACTTTGGTGCATTTTATCAGTAGATGTTATATATAATTAAAGTGTTTGGAATCTTGCGTTTGTGAGTGCTGAAGAAGGGGCTAGATTTTAGGATCAATTTGGTGACCACATGCGGGGTCGCTGATGCTTTTCCTCACCCTTCAGCTTTAGCAGAGGCAGGTGTCCCTGTCTTGAGTCCCCACCGCCACCCAGCTGTTGGCTTCTCCCAGGGCTGTGGCTTCTTCCAGGAAATGATGCCTGTGGTTGGAGAGATGCCATGGGCTGGAGCCCACGTGATGTGAGACAGTGCAATCTGTGGGGGTAAAGAGGGCGAGGCGGGCTTCTGCCAGGAGAGGGTTGAGAAATGTACTTCTTGTCCCAAACGTGCGTCCCAGAGGGAAGAGGGCCAGCCTGCAAAATTTGAGTTTGTGTCTTCTTTGTGAAGGGGCCAAAACAGAGCCTGGAACTAAGGAAGGAATCGGGCCCTCAGGGGCAACAGCGCTCACAAGAGGAAGTCAGCTGGAAACCCATCTGGTTAGGAGGTTCCTGCCTCTTCTTTCTAGGACAAGCCTTTGCTGGGGCCCCCAGCAGCAGTTGTCAAGACCGGGAAGAGGTTAAGAGGAGATGAGAGAGACTTTGGGGAGATGAGGACACATAGCTTTTAGTGAAGATTAAAATGTGTATCATAAAATTTCAGTGGAATGGAAAATGATCAGATTTGGAGACTTGAAGGAGTTAATTTAGGAGTATTCCTGAAACACTAGCAGAGAAAGTCTGGTGTGCTTGAGTTTGCATTTGAAGACACCAGAAATCTGCTTCTACTGAAAATTTCTTTTCAAAGATTTATTTATGCATACAGAACTGGGGTACAGGCCAGATGTATGGTGGGTGAGAGGATTCATCAGAGACAGAGTGGGTAACAGAACAGGCAGATCAACAAAATACACTGCTGAGGGGAACAGCAAGTGGGTCAAATGAGGTCTGCCAAGCCATGTGGATCAACTGTCCGGGGATCGAACTTGTGCTGCATTGGCTTTGGAGAGCTTCATAGTGTGGTGCTTTAACCTGTTGTACCAACAGGAAGAACCCTCTACGGAAAACTTTTAAAGAGAGACGAGGTTAAAATAAAAAGATGCTGTGTTCTATCTCAGAGTCTATCACCTTTGATTCATTAAAATACTGATTTGTTTATAAGCCAGACATGGAGATACTCGTGTATGGGTATTGTCACAGTGCTTTTATTCATTCATGAAGTCATTCAACAGCTGTTTTGTGAAGCCTCTTCTTGGTGCTACCTTCTAGGCATGGGGCACTTAGAAAGTCACTCAGGGGCTTCCCGTTACCACCAGAATAAAATTTAGTTGCCACAGCTTGGAGACAGACCATTGCATCTTCACCTAATATATATCTGGCCTTCTTGCCTTTGTCAAGGGGCCCATCTGCCATCCATCTATCCCCAGGGACAGACTCATGCTATTGACTAAATAAAAAAAAAGAGATATTTTTATTTACCCATGTACTTTCTTTTTAAACTCTGAATTCTTTCAAGATAGGGCAGGGTCTTCATTTTCCCCTAGTGTTGGGTTTGGCACTGGAATTTGTGCCAATGAAGCACTTCTGTCTTTCACATGCCCTGAGCACTTAACTCACTTGAGAGAAGAGAGCAGACAGAGGATCACAACAGCAACATTGGAAATTCAGTTTGGCGTCTGGCCTCGCATGTGAACTCTCATCTCCCTCATTCCTCCTGGCCAGATCTGATCACTTCCTGGGTTCCTCGCATGCTCTTGCCTTCCAGGAAGGAAAACTGTGGACATTCCTGGACTACTGTGGAGTACTGAATCCCAAGAGAACCATATATTTCTGCAGCCTGGAGCACTGGGGGCTGTTTCGCCCTCTGAGGTAAAGCTGTCTTGGGACTCAGCTGGCAGCAGGCCACCTAAGTTGAGAAAGGGCACTTCCTATCTTGCCCTCTGGCTAGCAATCTGTGAATAATGAAGAGGACTGAGAGAGGCAGTGAGAAGAGGGAGGAAGGAGCAGTGATGCCACCCAGGCCAGCGCCTTCCCGTGGTGGGCTCTCCTTTGCTTGGTGCAAGAGTTGCACTGGCTATGTCTAAGAGCTTGCAAGCCAGGAGCCGCTTCCCTGAGAGAAGCATGACTCCATTTCCACACACCTAAGGACAGGCCCTAGGCTGCCACCAGGGTAAAATGACCTTGTGGTTTCTGTGTTCAGGCGGCTGAGACATCCTTCCTCTGTGGGACTCCAGTATCACAACCATGCACCACTGAGCAGTGGAATCTGGTGGAGCATTATGCTGTGGGCTACATGCTAGAAGTTTACACTTTAGCTAGAATTGTGGGATCTGGAAAGGCCATTCAGCCTTGGTCTTCAGTTTCCTCCCCCAGGGAATGAGAATATGTACAGAATTGCTGTAAAACTAAAGGTGATTATGTTAGTGGTAACTGTTCCTGGCATGTATTTTTTCTCCCGTTCTCCCTTGTCCCTTCTTTTTTTCATCAGGGAGATTTATTCCTTCAAGAGAAACTTTCTTTCACTGATGGTGTGTCGCTAGTCAGTCACAAGGAATTAAAAATTAACTTTCAAAGTGAATAGTTGTGTGCATGAGGATTCTAGTCTCTTTCTTCTAGAAAGCCCTCCCTGTCCCTCAACTCATGGCTATCCTCCGCTTCTCCAGTTTCTCTCCCACTGGTCTGGAGAACTCTTTGGGACAGGGCTTCTTAACCAGGCCCCTACATGTCAGCGTGTAGTGCACAGCGATTGTGAGCAAGAGTCGATGGCACTTTAACAGACACAATACTGACTCCATGGTCACTGAGTGGCAGATGAAAAGATCATACATCAAACTTCCATCTTTTGCTTTCTCCATAGGATGTTCATAGATGTTTTTAATCAAAAGATTAAAATTGATCTTTCACGCTAACTTTTTGTATTTATTCACGGCACCTACGGAGTTTTCATTTTTATGCAAAAAAAAAAAAAAGTTTTTGCTTCTTCTTTCTACTCTTAAACATGCTTCGCCTATGTTTAAGGACAGGTGATGCCCATAGGTAGGATCCCAGGTAGACACAGCCTTACAAGGACCCTGGACAGTCTGGGATATAGACTAAGCGAGGGGGCAAAGGGTGTGTGGCAAGATGGAAAGAGAGGGAGAGAGGAGGGAATGAGAGGGAAATAGGGTCCATGCAGCTGGCCCTGTGGCTGCCAGACATCAGCTCAACCATGCCCAACTGTTTACACCACTGTCTCTGTTGTCCAGCCACTGGCCACTGGCATGTCAGATTTGGGAAACACTGAGTTCCTTGCCCTCCTTTTTGTGACTCCCCTTAGGAACTCCTGGCTTTTGGGTGCTGTACAGAAGCTCTTTAACTTGATATAGTCCCATCTATTTATCTTTGC